GGTGATGTGGGGATGATGGGGGACTTCCTGAGGTGCAGGTTGATGGAGAACTTCTGTCTTCTTCAAGCTGACTTCCAGCCCAAAGAGTTCAGCAGCGTCTGCAAAGCAGGATGTTAAACGCTGCAGAGCTGCTTCTGTGTGGGCGACAAGGGCGGCATCATCAGCATAAAACAGCTCCCAGACAAGATGGTTTAAGGTCTTGGTGTGGACCTTCAGTCACCTTAGGTTGAAAAGGCTTCCATCAGTACGGTATCGAATGTAGATACCGTCCTGATCATCGAGGTCTGACGTGGCCCTTTGGAGCATCATGCTGAAAAAGACTGTGAATAGGGTAGGAGCGAGAACGCACCCTTGTTTCACAACATTCTTAATTAAAAAGGGCTCAGAAAGTGCATCGCCATATCTGACTTGGCCGTGCTGATCCTCATGGAGTGAGATGATCATTTTAAGGAACTTGGGGGGACAACCTAAACGTTCCAAAATCTGCCATAGACCTTTTCTGTTCACAGTGTCGAAAGCCTTGGTGAGGTCGACAAAGGTTACATAGAGACCTTTGTTCTGTTCCCTACACTTCTCTTGCAGTTGTCTGAGAACAAATCCCATGTCTGTGGTACTCCTGTTGGCTCTGAAACCACACTGACTTTCAGGTAGGATTCCTTCTGCTATAGTGGGTATTAGTCTGTTCAAAAGTATTCTTGCCAGGATTTTACCAGCAATGGAGAACAGAGTAATACCACGGTAATTTGAGCAATCTGATTTATTTCCTTTCTTCTTATACAAGGTCATGATGACTGCATCACGAAGGTCTGATGGTAGTTCGCCTAGTTCCCAACAGCGCACCACAAACTCGTGAAATTTAGCATGGAGTGCTTGGCCCCCATGTTTCCAGACTTTGGGTGGAATTCCATCAACCTCAACTGCCTTGCCAATTTTCACCTGCTGTATGACCTTGAGGGTTTCTCATAAAGTTGGGGCAGTATCCAATTCATTCTTCACCGGTTGTTGTGTGATGGACTGGATTGCTGAGTCTTGGACTACACGGTTGGTACTGAAAAGAGTCTGAAAGTGTTCAGACCATCGATTCAGAATGGAGGTTTTTTCTGTCAGAAGTGTTTGACCATCAGCGCTGAGTAGAGGGCTTTGTACCTGGTATGTAGGCCCGTACGCTGTTTTCAAGGCCTCATAGAATCCTCTGTGATCACCTGTATCTGCGCATAATTGAGTTTTTACAACTAGATCGATCCACCACTTGTTCTGGATGTCACAGAGTTTCTGTTGGAGCTTGCTGCATGCAATACAAAAGGTTATTTTTCTTGCATGACAGGATGGCAGTGCAAGGTGTGCTTGGTGGGCGGTTCTCTTCTTCCTCAACAAGTCCTGGATTTCTTGATTGTTTTCATCAAATCAGTCCTTGTTCTTCTTGAGGGAGAACCCTAAGGATTCTTCAGAGGATTGCAGGATGCTGTTTTTAATATGGTACCAAAGTGTTTCAGGAGAGGAATCTGCAGAATCTATGGAATGGTTTTTGAGCCTAGTTTGAAGGTTAGCCTGGAATCTGTCTCTTACTGTGGCTGATTGGAGATTGTTAACTTGGAGTCTTCTCCTTGGGATGTTGCCCCTTTTAGGTTTGAATTTGAGATTGAAGTTGAGTTTACAGCGCACAAGCCGATGGTCTGTTTGGCATTCTGCGCTGGGCATCACGCGGGTATGGTGGCCATTGCGAACATCTCTCTGTCGCACCAAGACATAATCAATGAGGTACCAATGCTTAGATCTGGGGTGCATCCAGGTTGTCTTCAGACTATCTTTCTACTGAAAGATAGTATTAGTGATGGTGAGCTGTTGCTCCGCACAGAATTCTAACAGAAGTCGACCATTATCATTGCATATATGAATATAGTTAGGAGGTGTAGGATCTGGGCATGAAGTCGATGGTATAGAATAAGGGGTGGATAGGGTCCTGGTTCTGACCAGAACAGGATTAATTTTTTGCAGTAACCAGAAGAGGGCATGACCAGGACCCGGAGGTTTTTCAATACCACCTCATGTTGTTGCTGGGAGTAGGGGAAAAGGGACTCTCTTCTGGGGAGAATGAGTTCATTCTGGTCGAGTAAATGTGGTGGAGGGAGACGTCCTCTATTGTCTATTGTCGGGGGGGGGTTCAGTGTGAATTATTTCTTTTCTTGTACATTTTTGTTAGTATTGTTGCTTTTACTGTTTGTTTTCTTGTCTCGTTGTTTCCAGTAAACTGTTCTCATCTCTGCCCTTGATCTTTGCCTTTTGTGCCTCCAGTTCTCCTCTCCAGCCTGCTGCAGGGGAAGGGGAAGTGAAAAGTGGGGGAGTGAGAGAAAGCGGCATGTGGTTTGGAGAGTCTCTGTGGGGACATTGAATTGGGGAGTACCATTCCTAAACCACGACAGGGTAAATCATATAAAAGAGGGAGAGTTCTGTTTTTAGATAATGATGGGCTTTTTTTGTTTTGGGGTTTTGTATCATGGAAGGGAAAAAATAATCTTGTATACCAGACGCGAATCTGATACAAAGTGAGGCCATGTTGGTCACAGGCAAGAAGCTATGAGCCAACTGAGTGCAGTTTTCTGAGCTAAAATGGTTGCTCCCAAAGTTCAGAGGAGTAGGGCAGCTTAGTGATTCTTAAAGCTTCAGTGGAGCAGGAACTCATATGTCTTGAAAGTGCGATAAACACATTCAGTAGAGCTGTGACTTGTGTTGTTGAGATGAGAAAACTAAACTTGGGGAACAGATAGTGAAAAATGGATGATCTGCTTGTCTGTGGAGTGCTCTAAATGCAGGAGTCATTTGCTTCATGGAAAAAAGAAATGTTTTCAGGTCAAATGGACTGTGCTAAAGAAGACATAGTGTGGCACATCACTCACCACTGTAATTTGGTCTCAGAACAGATAGCAACCTCTTCCACAGTGTTTAATCTGGTGCTTGCAAATAAAAACTCGAGTATCTTAATCATTGCAGTTTTGCTAGTTGAAAAAAAACTGGTGCACCATTTTTTCCTTTTTTGGTTTTGTGGTTTTTTTGTTGTTGAAGGTGGTGGGGAACAGATACTGCAGTGAGCATAGTAATGTAGATTAAACATAAGGAATGTCTGTGTGCTCACTGTCCAGAAATAGACTTGCCAGAATTTTATTTTAGCAGGCTATAAGACAAAACATTATTTTTTTCACTGTCCTTTCTTTGTGCCCTAGGGTTTTATATTGAACACAAATGGCTGGGTTTTGGTAGCAAGGGGCTGCAGTGTGGGAAGAGGCCATGAACAACCAGTTCCAACCAGTTCTGATAAAAATTGAAAGAACCCATTGAGAACCAAACTTTCAAAGAATCAGAGGAGCATATGGTGCCCCTGCTCAAACATATTTAAGGGCAGTTGCCAATAGGGGTAGGAGGCACACTCTTGAAAGGAGATGCTCCACACAGGAGCATTGACAACCTCAAAAAGGACTGAGGCCCATGGTAGAACCCACACTGGAGCAGAGCAGTAAGAAGCAAAAAGCAGTGGAAGAAGATGAGTAAGAAATAAGGAAGGGCAGAAAGACGTTGACAGTAAACTAAATGAAGTAAAATCGCTTGAGTTGAGGCTCTTTTGCCTGCAGCAGCTTTTCATCTTAACTATAGAAATAGTTTTACTTTTTATAGTAAATAAATGGAATTTTCACAATAAAATGGTTTTGTCGGCTATTGCGTCCTCGACCTCTTGGAACTCCTAGGTTATCTTGGCCCAGCACAATGTGTGGGAAACTTAATAAATGAGTTATTACTTTAAAATAATAGTTTGCTTTTGTACCCAATTGCTGTACAGGGCAGGAGGGTCTCAATCTTTTGTATTTCTTTAATTTCGTGTGTCCTTTTGTTTATGGCAGTACATAAACTAAGAGTCTAGTGATAAATTCCTCCCCAGTATTTTGTGAAATGGGATTAATTGGTCACATACTGAACTCGATCTTGCTAAATTTTATTACTTTGTACATTACAGTATACAGAGGTTTGGAATTAATAAGTGCAGTCATGAAGTGTTTAGGGAAGATCACTGTTATTTATGTTTCCATTGTACTTTTGTAGTATTCCTATTCTTTTTACTGTCCATCCCTTCCTCAAACTCCTATCCCACCAAAGATATGTCCCCAATAAGAGACCATAATGGAACTCTGTAAGAGTTATAACTGAGTGGAGATGTTCTTGGTCTTTGGTGGAATTAATTCCAATGCATGGCATTCAATTCTTGATACACATATTTAGATCTCACTTTGAAATTATACTTATGTTTTCCACTGATGTCAGGAATTACAAGATTTTGAAAAGAAAGACAAGCGTTTCCACTTTAAGGGATGTTTTTAATAGCTGGCAATTAAACTGACAGGACTTTCTCAGTTTCCAAGAAGGTTAGAGTGAGTCTTAAAGAAGCAGAAACCACTGTCATCTGTTTGTAAGTTTCAGTGAATCAATGTTTGGGAGTAATGTGGTTGTACTTCTAGCATATAGCTGCTAGAAAGACTGACTTCCTAACAACAACTGTCTCCTGAGTAATGGAAAAGTTTAGAGGACAAAGTCCATTGGAACAGTAGTCATTTGTCAGAAGGTTGACTGTAGCATTGATAATGGCAACCTGCAAGTTACCTAGATAGTTCTTTCTTTGACTCAAAATTGCTTTGATGCCTCTTAAATGTTGAGTTTTAGACTGCAGTAATTATGGAATTTCTGAAAATCATGAAGTCATTGAGACTTTAAGTCATTGAGATTTGAGACGTTGAGTCAGCTACTGAGAAGAAATTAACTCTATCCTAGCTGAAACCAGGACAATAGTGATAGGAAGCTTGGTGTTAATAATGACATTGCTGTAAAAACAGACAAAAAACCCCCCAGAAACCCAACCAAACAGGGAAAAACAAACCAAAACAAACCCCTGCCTTTTTTCTTCTCCTTTTCTTGTTTTTTTTGCAGAATTTTCTAATGCAAAAGATAGTTCCTGAACTATGGAGGTTCTGCAATGTGATGGCTGTGATTTCCAAGCTCCATCCTATGAAGACCTAAAAGCTCACATTCAGGATGTTCATACTGCTTTTCTGCAGCCAACAGATGTCTCTGAGGAAAACCGTAGCGAGTTGAGGTCTGACTCCATGAATGCTAACAACCAGACTGAGACAGAATTTTCTTTTCTAAAGGATGAATTTATAACTGCAAATGAAATAGCAGGTAAACCTCAACCCTAAGCCCCTATCTCACGTGAATTATTTTAGTGCATTTTAATTGGCATGTCTTGGGGTGTTTTTTAAAAAATGTAACTTTTATCACTATAGTAGTGAAGTGGATGATGTTTAGCTGCAGACATATTTTTTCTGTAAATGCAAACGTGTGGCTTTGTCGTCTTGCTATTTTCCACATGCTTTATCATATTGCTTCTTTTCATTTCTTTACACCACCATGAGCTCTAGAAGAGTTTAGAACTTTATTAGTGTACCTTTTTATTTCAAGATGCTTATTTTGGAAATTGTCTATCCTAAATTATGTACCATCTGTTAGTTTTCTGACCATCCTCATATGCACAGGTCTAATCAGAAATAAATGAGGGAAATCCTGGTGTGATTAATGTGTTCAAGATGTGTGTGTATTCATATGGGTAGATGGGGGAAAACTGTGTAATTTTACTTATTTACATATTTACTTTTAAATTCTTATTTTAGGACAAAATACAACAAGTCAGATGGGAACTGGAAGTTATTATAGCCAGAGCCAAAATTTTTATGGTCAGCATATGGCTGCAAATCCTAAACCAACCAACAAGTTTTTCCAGTGCAAATTCTGTGTGCGTTACTTCCGATCTAAAAACCTTCTCATAGAGCACACTCGCAAGGTTCACGGAACACAAGATGGGGGAAGCTCAGTAGGGTCACACACTGCTGGATCCTTAAATTACAACATCATGATGCATGAGGGATTTGGTAAAGTTTTCTCTTGCCAGTTCTGCACCTACAAATCACCAAGGCACACAAGGATTATTAAGCACCAGAAAATGTATCACAAAAAAAATCTGAAGGAGAGTTTAACTCTTACTGCTACCTCTGCTGTATCTGAATTGACATCTGCCTCTGTGCCAGTGCAGGAACCCTGCAAGGAATTGCCTGAGGAGGTGGTAGAACGGAGCATTTTGGAGTCCATGGTCAAACCTCTAACAAAGTCCAGAGGCAACTTTTGCTGTGAGTGGTGCAGTTACGAGACACCTCGAAGGGAGCGCTGGTGTGACCATATGATGAAGAAACACCGCAGCATGGTGAAAATACTGTCATGTTTGAGGCAGGAACAAGACAGAACTAGTGTGCCTGATATGCAGAATAAGATAGCCTGGAATGCCTCCCCAAACTCTACTTATATCTCTATGAATATGACAGGATGTGATATGTTGAATGCTGATGTCTCAAACTTCAGAAGCTCTATGGGCAATTCTCTTATCAGGTCCAACTCTTCTATATCCTCTAAGTTTTATTCTGTGTCTTATCCTCAAATGAAGTCTAAATTACCTCACAACTTCGGCATGGTCCATTTGCCTGACAGATCCCACTATGGAGTTGCTGACATGACAAATTCCTCTGCTGACTTGGAAACAAGCAGTATACTAAATGACTCCAGCTCAGACAAAGAGCTAAATGAAGTGGACAGTGAGAATGGTTTGAACTCAGTGGACAACCAGACTTCAGGAATATCTGCAAAGCAACTGATGGGATCTAATGGCAACAAGCTGTTGGAAACAAAAGGGATTCCCTTTAGAAGATACATGAACAGGTTCCAATGTCCTTTTTGTCCTTTCCTCACAATGCACCGCCGAAGCATCTCCCGTCACATTGAGAATATCCACCTATCTGGGAAGACAACTGTATACAAATGCAATGAGTGTCCTTTTACCTGTAAGAGTTTGTTAAAGCTTGGAGTTCATAGGCAGTGTCACACACATACGACATCAGACTGGGACACTGTGAATTCTCAGAGTGAAAACATTGTCTCCTCTTTGAATGACAACATGATTTTTTCTGAAAATGGAACTATAAATGAAAGAAAGTCAGCTGGGATGATGGAAACAGTGCAGCAGCAACAGCAGCAGTTGCCTCAACCCCATTTACAGCATCCTTATAAGTGCACAATGTGTAACTATTCTACCACTACTTTGAAAGGTCTCAGAGTTCATCAGCAGCATAAACACTCATTTTGTGACAACTTACCAAAATATGATGGACTACCATCCAACATGCCTCAAGAGAGCGAGGCAGATGCTCTTACCTCTGTCAGCACAGTGAAGAAAACTCAGACCTCAATTCTTGGTCTCTCATCTAAAAATAACTTTGTTGCTAAGGTCACTCGGAAGGTGTCAAATGACTGCCCTTTGGATATCTCACCAGTGAAGAAAAGAACTAGAATTGATGAAATAGCAAGCAACCTGCAGAGCAAAATAAACCAAAACAAGCCCCAAGAAGATGCTGTGCTTAATGTAGAGTATTATGAGGAAGAGGAGGAAGATGAGGTGGAGATAGAAGTAGAATTAGACAGAGAAGAAGAACAAACAAAACCAATGGTGGAGGTTTCTAGTTCTTATGCACCCCAGCAAATGTGGGGGAGAGAGACTAATGATTCCCAGAAGGATGCAAACTTCATAAACATGCATAATGATTATAATTCCACCAATGGAGCAGAGATCGAGCTCACTTTATCTGAAGATGAGGAAGATTATTTTTCTTCCATTAACATGAAAGATCAACAGAACCCTAATACCTCTGTTCTGGGAAGCCAGTCAAATATGAATGACCCTCATCAGAACAACAAAAATGTGGAAATTAATGGTTCTGGCAGGCGTTACAATTGTAAACACTGTGATTTTAGCAACAAATCTGCCAGGAGTGTTAGCACCCACTACCAACGGATGCACCCCTACATAAAATTCAGCTTTAGGTATATCTTGGATCCAAATGATCACAGTGCAGTATACAGATGTCTTGAGTGCTATATTGACTATATGAACTTTGAAGACCTGCAGCAACACTACGGAGAGCATCACCCTGAAGCTATGAATATATTGAACTCCCATCACTCTGATCTGATCTACCACTGTCACTTCTGTTCTTACACTAGCCCAAATGTTAGAAGCCTGATGCCGCATTACCAAAGAATGCATCCAACAGTGAAAATTAACAATGCAATGATATTTTCAAGCTATGTTGTTGAGCAGCAAGAGGGGCTAAACACAGAGTCTCAGACACTGAGGGAGATCTTAAATTCTGCTCCAAAAACTATGGCAACCTCCACCCCTGTGGCTCATGAGACTATTGTGCCAGCAAGTTTTAACAAAAGTGCCACAAAGACTTTTAGTCCTGAATATGAAAACCAGAAGGCACCTTCGGTCAGTTCTGTGATTGTTTATGACTGTGATGTGTGCTCATTTGCAAGCCCTAACATGCATTCAGTTCTAGTGCATTACCAGAAAAAACACCCTGAAGAAAAAGCATCATATTTCAGAATTCAGAAGACCATGCATATAGAATCTGTTGACAGGGGCTCTGCCCTGGCTCAAATGTCTTTTGAGATGGGAGTGTTTGTATCCTCAAAACTGTCCAACTTGGCTTCTCAACCTCCACCTCCCCCACCACTGCTCCCAGACCTTGCTCCTGAACTCTACTATTGCAAACACTGTTCATACAGCAACCGTTCAGTTGTGGGAGTGCTTGTTCACTACCAGAAAAGACATCCAGAAATAAAGGTCACTGCCAAGTACATCAGGCAGGCACCCCCTACTGCGGCAATGATGAAGGATGGTGAGCTGCCACCTGGGATTCAGAAAATGCCAGTGTCAGTGCAACAGTTAAGCCAGGGCAGTTCTGAAAGCTCTGCAAATACCCTTGAGAACGAAATGTTCTTCTGCCAGCACTGCAATTATGGAAACCAGACTGTGAAAGGGGTTCTCATTCATTATCAAAAGAAGCATCGTGATTTCAAAGCCAATGCAGATGTGATTAGGCAGCACACAGCCACCATTAGAAGTCTTTGTGATCGTAACCGGAAGAAATCATCTGGCAGCCTGCCTGCTCACACCTCCAGCACTGAACAGGATAAGACAAAGCTGAGAGCCCTCAAATGCAGGCAGTGCAGCTACACATCACCTTATTTCTATGCATTGAGGAAGCATATTAAGAAAGACCACCCAAATCTGAAGGCCACGGTCACGTCCATTCTGAGATGGGCATTTTTGGATGGTTTGATAGAAGCTGGTTATCACTGTGAATGGTGTATTTATTCACATACAGAACCCAGTGGTTTGCTTGTGCATTATCAAAGGAGACATCCTGAACATTATGTTGACTATACATATATGGCAACTAAACTCTGGGTAGGTCTAGATCCTTCCCCTCCTACCCTAGTGATGCCAACAGAGGCAAAGACCTATAAATGCAGAGACTGCATTTTTGAAGCATCTTCCATTTGGGATATTACTAATCATTACCAGGCTTTTCACCCTTGGACTATGAATGGGGATGAATCTGTATTGTTAGATATCATTAAGGAGAAAGATACTACTGAGAAAATTGGCACACGACTTGATGAAGTTAATGCCAGGATTAATTCTGAAAACCAGGTACTATCACAGATGGAGCAGGATGCGGAGGACCCCAGCCTTTCCCAGGAAAAAACTATTCAACTGACTTCTGCAAACCCTGCCATCTCCACTCCATATCAGTGTACAGTTTGCCAGTCTGAGTACAATAACTTGCATGGCCTCCTGACACATTATGGCAAAAAGCATCCTGGCATGAAAGTGAAAGCTGCTGACTTTGCACAGGACACAGACATTAATCCAGGGGCTGTGTACAAGTGCAGACATTGCCCATACATTAACACACGCATTCATGGTGTCCTCACACATTACCAGAAACGGCACCCGTCAGTAAAAGTCACTGCTGAAGACTTTGTGCATGATGTGGAACAGTCGAATCACATTGCCCAGAATGACATAGAAGAGACATGTAGGATTTTCAAGCAAGGCTATGGTGCTTATCGGTGCAAACTCTGCCCTTACACCCATGGCACACTTGAGAAGCTCAAAATTCACTATGAGAAATATCATGATCAACCTGAATTTGATGTTTTTGTTAAGTCACCACCAAAGGTGTCTGCCTCAGTGGAGCCAGACGTGGTGACTGAAATCAAGGCCTCCCCAGAAATTGCTGCTGATAATGTTGGAGAAATCTCTATCCCAGCACCTCATTTCTCCACTTCTCACTTAGTGACTCACACAGTGTTCCGGTGTCAGCTCTGCAAATACTTCTGTTCTACACGAAAGGGGATAGCCAGGCACTACCGCATCAAACATAATAATGTTCGGGCACAACCAGAAGGCAAGAACAACCTTTTCAAGTGTGCTTTGTGTTCCTACACCAACCCTATCCGTAAAGGGCTTGCAGCACACTACCAGAAAAGACATGACATTGATGCTTACTACACTCATTGTTTAGCAGCCTCCAGGACAGTAAGCGACAAACCCAATAAAGTGATCATTCCATCCCCTCCCAAAGATGACACTCTTCAGTTAAGTGAGGAGTTGAGAAGAGCTGTGGAAAAGAAGAAGTGCTCACTTTGTTCCTTTCAATCTTTTAGCAAAAAGGGTATTGTGTCCCACTACATGAAGTGTCACCCTGGTGTTTTCCCTAAGAAGCAGCATGCAAGCAAACTGGGGGGCTACTTCACTGCCGTGTATGCTGATGAAGATGACAAGTCAACTCCAGCTGAGGAAAGAAATAACTTTGAAAAGTTTGAGGTGGAGAGCAAGGCTCAGGAAACTGAGTGGCTTCCCTTCAGATGCATAAAATGTTTCAAGCTGTCCTTCAGCACAGCAGAGTTGCTGTGCACTCATTATACTGATCACCACAGCAAGGATTTTAAGAGAGACTTTGCCATACTGGGAAGTGGCACTCACTCTCATAATGCTGTCTACCAGTGCAAGCACTGTGATACTAAATTGCATAGCATGGCAGAGCTGACCTCACACTTGAATAGTCACAATGAGGAATTCCAGAAGTGTGCCAAACGTCAGGAGAGAAGGAAACAGCTTTTGAACAAGCAGAAATATGCAGATGGTGCTTTTATGGATTTCAAACAAGCGAGGGTAAGGATTTGTGTGTCTGGTCTCCTTCTCTGCTTCCTCTCCCCAGGGTGAAAAACAAACCAAAAGCTGTTCTTCTATATGTCAAGAGGCTCCTTATTACTAATACCTACTGTCATGTTAACTTTAACAGCCAAATGAACGCAGGTTAATGAGTGACTCAACATGTCAAAGGGCTCTATAAGTTGGTTACATATTCTGCTTTAATTTCCTTAATTCTCTACCTATTCCTAGGCTCCATGGGAAGCTCTGCTCCCTCCAATTGTTTCCTTCTGGATTTTCAATATCTTTCTTCCTTCCTCCCACCCTTATGAATGGCTATCTGTATCTTTTGCAAGGTTGTTGTTTGTTTTCTCATAGATTTTTTAACAAATATCCCATTCTGCTGCTCATCCATGTACCTTGAAATAACACAGCAATTTCCTTCTCAGTATATTTTCTGATAAAGAACCTGATGTTTAAGTGCATCTATCCAATAACTTCAAGCTTTGGGCAAGCTCCTGTGAACAGAAGACCAAATTCTGCTACTCTTTTCTGTACCCTTCTCCCCATCTGGAGTAACTACTTTCTGTAGAAAAACATACAATTGGACGGGGGAGGGAAACCATCAAAGAGTATGTCTTGTAAGTTAAAAATGAATGGTCTTATAGGGGACTATTATGCAGATACTCAAGGTTTTTTCTGTGCATGTCCTGTCCACCTATTTTGAGGGCTTTAATAGAAGTCAGTGCAAATGGAGGTTGAAGTTTTGCACAAGAGGATGTTGTAGTGAGTTGACCTTGTCTGGACAACAGGTCCCCACCAAGCCACTCTATCACTCCCACTCCTCATCAGGACATGGGGGAAGAAAATAAGATGGAAAAGAACTTGTGAGTCAAGATAAAGGCAGGTTAATAAAACAAAAGCAAAGGCTGCATGCAGAAGTAAAGGAAAACGAAAGATTTATTCTCTACTTCACATCAGCAGGCGATGTCCAACCACTTCTCAGGAAGCAGTGTTTCAGCACACATAGTGGTTGCTGCAGAAGACAAAACATAATAACCAATGACCCCTCCCTCCCCCCCTTTCTCTTAGTTTTTATATCTGAGTGGATGTCATATGTTATGGAATATCCCTTTGGTCAGTTTGGGCCAGCTGTCCTGGCTATATCTCCTCCCAAGATCTTGCCCACCCCCAGCCTACTGGTCTTTGGGGGTGAGGGGGGGAATGTTGGGGAGACAGCACTGATGCTGTACCAGCACTGCTCAGCAGTAGCCAAAACACTGGTGTGTTCTTAACACCCTTCCAGCTACCAATGCAAAGCCTAGCACTGTGAGGGTTGCTATGGGGAAAGTTAACTCCGTGCCAGCCAGACCCAGACATGTGTACACTAAAGGCTATTTCCCTGGTCTGAGTATATTCCTAAAAGTGAGATATTCAAAGCATGTTTCAGTATTACATTAGTGTAACCGATTAATACTCATGTGCTTCAATAGGTTTTTGGACACTTGGAAAATGCTTCAAACCTTAAGGAGAGGAAAGTAGTAGGCTACAAATGTAAATTTTGTGTGGAAGTTCATCCAACGCTCCGAGCCATCTGTAATCATCTCCGTAAGCATGTCCGGTATGGGAATGTTTCTTCTGTGTCAGATACAGTAAAGGTGAGAATTCTGTGAACTGACAGCATTTTTTTGTTTGATATTAAGACCTAACTGAAAGCCCATAGAGGGGTCCCATGGAGACAAATGGGTTTTGGATTGGACATTCTGAACAGTTAAGCATGACATTGTAATCTAATTATTCATATTTCTGCAGCATATTTTGTTTACTTTAAGATGTTTTGACTTTCTTCTGCTCTCCATCTTGAGCACAAAAACTATTTAATTCTCATTTCTTATTTGACACAAAGGAATTGATATCACAGATGACTGAAAGACTTGATTTATGAGCACGAACTTCTCCCTCAGCTGTTCTGGGCTACTTTTCTGCTTTCTTAGACCATAAAGTGTGTGGGTTTTTTCTTTTTTTTTTTTCCAACCCATATGCAAAAGTGAAATTATAATGCTACAAACACATATTCAAATAGCCAGCTGAGACAGGGGTCCAAGTGGTTAACTGTAAATGTGCTGCTGTTTCCTCCCTTTGGAAGTGGAGACCACTTAGAATGTCTGAGGACAGACTGTGCAGGGGGAGTTCAGGTGCAGTAAGGTTGCAGGATCTGGTTATGCAGTTCTCCTTGCTGCAGTGAGTGAGTACTCAGCAAAATCTCATTATGCAGTCCTCAGAATGTGACCTAAAGTATGCCTATTTCATGACATCAACTGTGTGCTGTGTAAAGTTGCTGAGTCTGTCAGTCTAATCAGTTGTACCTAAAAACTTCCCCTGACCTTCCTTTAGCTTATCCAATACTACTGACAGAATGGGGTGCTTCCCTTCTATCAAATGATTCCTGCTCTTTCTCTGCTTCTCAAGTAAAGTTTATGTGGGGTCAATACCATCTTTTGAGCAAGTAGATACTTGCTCAACAGCAGGGAACAAAAACTAAAATACAAGATCCAAAAAACATGATATAAATATGCTTTACAGTTTCAATGCTGCTGCAAAATGTCTGCTATGCTAATTAACACTTAAGAAAGGGACTAAGAGATGTAATTTGTTTTTTAATGTATATGCATATATATATATAATTTAAGACTGAACTCTATACATAAAGTCATTAGTGGAGTATGGTAGGTATATCTTTAGAAAGTGAATGGAGTGGGAAACCTAGATGTTAAAATTAGTTCATAAGAGACTGAGGCACAGAAGGGAGACAGAATTGATGGTTTTGGGGGGGATATGTGTTTTTTATCAGGAAGTTGAAGATTCTTCAAGAACAACTTTGGAGGGTTTTAAGGCACCCAAAGACCCCGTGGAATTTACAGAAGCTGAATCCGGAGCATCCTTGGAAGATGAAACCGGGCCTGGGGGCTACCACTGCAGCCAGTGTGACCGGGTTTTGATGTCTATGCAGGGTCTGCGATCTCATGAGAGGAGTCACTTGGCTTTGGCTGTGTTTACCCGGGAAGACAAATACAGCTGCCAGTATTGCTCCTTTGTCTCTGCTTTCAGGCACAAGTAAGTTATGGTTTGTTTTCAACAGAAGCAAAGACTAGCATGACTATTTTTTACGTTGTTTGACGTTGAAGGAGAGCACACTCAATTTGATTTCAAGCCATGTTTTTCTCTTTTCTCAGGATTTAGGTATTTTCTATGCCCCAAAACCTTTTACCATTGCTTGTGACTATAAAAAGTCACATTTTTATATCTTCTCAAATTAGAGTTCTCTTTTTGTTGTGTGTAGGGGAAATGCACACCAAATAAAAGATACCCGCCACTTATGCAATCCTGTCAAATACATGAAATTAAAAAATGCATAAAGAGGAAAAAGTATTTTCACTAGCCTTCCATGTAACTGCCTTATTTTTAAACGGTACCGTGACTTTTATTTGATTGAGGGAGATTTCATTTCTAGTGTTGAACAGTTATCACAAATCAATCTTAGATTATTTATTTCTAATTTGTATTATGCAATTTCAGTCTATGAACATAGTCTTGACATCAGTGTGGTACACTTGAGAAATCACCCCTTATCTGATGTGACCCTTGAAAAATACATGGTCATAATAAATAATCAAGTTCCTCATAAATTATTTCTTTACCTACAGCTAGGAAGTTTTAGAATTCTTTTAATCATATTTATTCATGGCTTACCACAAAGAAATGAGGTTTATTGAATTTTTTTTTACTGGCATCCTAGATTGACAAACACATGTACATGTTTTCTGTAGTTTCTGGGCGGAGAAATGTCCCATCCCCCCATCCTGTGTCTGCCCACCTTCCCCTCAAAGAAGAGAGATCCAGGTGCATGTTTAATATAGGCATTGATAGCACTGTTGGCAACACCCTTAAACTGGGTAAAGTTGTTACTGTTCTGTAATTAAAAGTATGTGGGAAAGACAGCATGATATAAGAAATATTTATAAACCCTTGTGTTAGAAAAGCAGCACTTCTGTCAGTATCACAGCATGGTTCTTATGTGGATGAGCAATAGGGCATAGTCCAAGGTCTGGGCAGGCCTTGGCAATCTCTCATTAATATCCTGGATCTGAGCTGCTGGTAAGCAGTAAACCTCCCTGCACAGCAGGTCAGGTCAACATCTCCCCTCCAGAATGGAGTCTCCCACTACAATGACTCACCATTTCCTCCTGTTGTTGCTGCATGGTTCAGGTGCAGCCAGCTCTGATGATTCATTGGACAGAGCTCCCAGCCCTCTGCAACCAGATGCAGAACTATAGAGCCTACTCTGTAGTTGCAGTTCTGCTGGCGAAGCAGGACCCATCCTCCCAGTGCCAGATATCACAAGCTTCCAGCCATCTTGGTAGTTTCCATTTCCCAACCTGATAAACACAGACACTGGCTGCCCCTCCTTCAGTACAATTCAGAGTCTGAGCTCTTGTCTCTGCAGGATCTCTGAGAAGATCCTGTTAATCTTTTTCCTCATTATCTCTGATGCTGTGCAGATGACCGACCTCCTGAAGCTCCTTTAACATGGTAACACAGCTCCTCAACCAGCGCACATCTCCTGGAGGCGAGAAGAATCAAACATTCCTTGTAGCCCCAGACATAGAATAGAATAGAATAGAGTAAAATAGAATAGAACAGAGTAGAATAGACTAGACTAGACTAGACTAGACTAGAATAGAATAGAATATTTCACTTGGAAGGAACCTACGACAATCATCCAGTCCAACTGCCTGACCAATTCAGGGTTAACCAAAAGTTAAAGCATGCTGTTAAGGGCATTGTCCAAATGCCTATTAAACACTGACAGTCTTGGAGCATTGACTATGCCTTCAGGAAGCCCGTTCTAGGGTTTGACCACCCACTCGGTAAAGAAGTGTTTCCTAATGTATATCTGAACCTCCTCAGCACAGTTTTGAACCATTCCCATGCATCCTATCACTGGATCCCAGGGAGAAGAACTCAGCACCTCCCTCTCCACTTCCCCTCCTCAGGAAGTTGTAAAGAACCATGAGGTCACCCCTCAGCCTCCTTTTCTCCAAACTAGACAAACCCAGAGTTCTCAGTCACTCCTCACAGGACATGCCTTCCAACCCTTTCACCAACTTGGTTGCCTTCCTCTGGGGGCAATTCAAGGATCTTCACATTGTTCTTAAATTATGGGGTCCAGAACTGCACACTGAATTCAAAATGAGGTCATGCCAATGCTGAATACAGTGGGATCATCACCTCTTTCGATCAGCTGTTTCTGTTGTGTTTGATGCCCCCCCGGATGTGATTTGCCCTCTTGGTTGCCAGGGCTCACTGCTGACTCATACTGAGCCTGCTACCGACCAGCATCCCCAGATCCCTTTCTGCAGGGCTGCTCTTACAATCAGTGGAGACCTCCCCAAACTCTCCAGACCTTCGGTAGATGATTGAGGTGGATCCTGCTATAACATCCACTGCCTCCTTCAGTAGTCTGGGATGAATCTCATCAGGCCCCACAGACTTAGGAACATTCGACTGATACAACTGGTTCCTCACAATTTAAGTGTCCACAAATGGAAAGTCACTGTTCCCACACTTGTGGTCCTCTGACCAGAGAGTTGTGGTCAACAACTCAATGTTCAGATGGAGATCAGTGACAAGTGGTGTCCCTCAGGGCTCTGTCTTGGGACTGGTGCTCTTTAATATCTTTATTGATGACATAGTGGGATCGAGTACACCCGTAGCAAGTTTGCAGATGGCATGAAGCTGAGTGGTGCAGTTGACACACCTGAAGCACAGGATGCCATCCAGAGGGACCTGGACAAGCTCAAGAAGTGGGCCCATGAGAACCTCATGAGGTTCAACAAGTCCAAGTGCAAGATGCTGCAACTGGATTGGGGCAATCCCATACATGAGTACAGACTTGGAGAAGAACTAATTGAGAGCAGCCCTGTGGAGAAGGACTTGGGTGTTCTGGTCGACAAAAAGCTGGACATGAGCCAACAGAGTGCACTTGAAGCCCAGAAAGCCAATCACATCCTGGGCTGCATCAAAAGCAGTGTGACCAGCAGGTCAAGGGAGGGGATTATCACCCTCTACTCCACTCTGGTGAGACCAGCTGTGTCCAGCTCTGGGGACCCCAGCACAAGAAGGATGTTGACCTGTTGGAGCAAGTGCAGAGGAGGCCACCAAGATGTTTAGAGGGCTTCAGCACCTCTGCTATGAGGAAAGGCTGACAGCTGGGGTTGTTCAGCCTGGAGAAGAGAAGACTCTGGGGAGATCTTACTGCAGCCTTTCAGTACTTAAAGGGAGCTTATACAAGGAGGTAGAGGGACTTTTTACATGGTCAGATAATGATAGGACAAGGGGTAATGGTTTTAAACTAATGTCTCAGTTTGAAGAGACTGGAATGTTTGCTAAAGAGGATGAGTTATGAGACAGACCAAACTCCTCTCTCTCAGCAATTGTAAATTCAAAAATTAAGGGGTTTTAATGGAGGAAGTGTGGGAAAAAAAAGAATAACAACCCTTTATTAAAAGATATATGTATATTGGCAAGAACAGTAACAGAACATAAAAACAACTAAACAATAATCCTGTACCCAGAAGTTCCTTTTAAACAAAAGGTCTGTCTTCTAGTGCAGTTCTAATCATGGTTGGCAGGGGGCGCTGTTGGGCTCTGGTAGTCACGGCATGGGAAGGGGGTCTGGGGGGATGGTCTCAGATCGCGGGAGAAGCCGAAAAGAAAAACAGAGACCCTTCCCCCAGTGGAAGAAGGGCAGGAGGAAAAGCAGTCCACCCCCCACGGGACTCACTGTTGTTCTCAGATGACGGTGTTTCAAGGTTCCTCCTTTTCTCCCAGCAAGTACAGAGACTCTCCGATGAAAACGCAGCAGGTCCGGGCTGGAGACAAAAGACAGTTCGCAGGCAAGTTGAGGCCAGCAGTCAGGGTTGACCAGGATGAGAAACCAGAAAGACAGACCTCCAGGTCTTCTCTGCAAATGCCCGCATGCAGACCCCTGCCTCCCTCCGAGAGAGAGAACTCAACCTTCTGACCTCTCCCCTTCCGAGAAGAGCCCAGCCACCCCCTCCCAAAATTCCTCCCTTTCCCCCCAGCCTCTGATGGGTCCATCTGTTAGGAATGCAGTCTGACCAGCTAGTTCTTTTGTAAGGCTAATTGATTCCCTTCCCCCTCTCCATTCAGTCAACTTCTCTGCCCAGGTAGCAATGTCTTGCCACATGTCAAAGGTCCAGATGGGTTTTCCCCTGCGTTTCCAATTGACTTTCTTCCATCTGTCCAACCATCCCCACAGAGCGTTGGCTACCATCCACGAGTCAGTGTAGATGTAAAGCTTTGACCACTTCTCCCGTTCAGCAATGTCCAATGCCAACTGGACAACTTTGAACTGTCTTTCCTACAGTGGGGGGCAGGGGAAAGAAAAAATTCTCCTGGATTTCTAACCTATAACAACTAAAAGGAGAGATTTAGATTAGATATTAGGAAGAAATTCTTTACTGTGAGAGTGGTGAGGCACTGGCAGAGATTGTGCAGAGAAGTTGCGGATGCCCTATCCCTGGAAGCATTCAAGGTTGGGTTGAATGGGTCTCTGATCAGGATGGCATCTCAGCCCATGGTGGAGGGGTTGGAACTAGATTTTTAATGTCCCTTCCAACCCATTCTATGATTCTATGACTAGGGAAGTGATTGTCCCCCTCTATTTGGCACTGGTGAGGCCACACCTCGAATCCTTTGTCCAGTTCTGGGCCCCTCACTCCAAGAAGGACATTGAAGTGCTGAAGTGCATCCAAAGAAGGGTGACGAGACTGATAAAGTGTCTAGAGCACAAGTCTGATGAGGACCGACTGAGGGAGATGGGGGGTCTCAGCCTGGAGAAAAAGAGGCTCAAGGGAGGACTTGCTCTCTACAACTACCTGAAAAGAGGTTGTAGTGAGGCGGGGGTTGGTCTCCTCTCTGTAGTAACAAACAATAGGACAAGAGGAAACGGCTTTAAGTTGTGCCAGCAGAGGTTCAGGTTGGATATTAGGAAAAATTTCTTACCAGAAAGGATTGTCAAGCACTGGCACAGGTTGCCCAGGGTAGTGGTGTAGTCCCCATCTTTGGAGGGATTTAAAAGTCATATAGATGTAGCACTTGGGGACATGGGTTAGTGGTGGATTTGCAGTTTTAGTTTAATGGTTGGACTTGATTATTTTAAAGGTCTTTTCTGACCTAAATGATTTTACGATTCTATGATTTTCCTTAGACCTCCTTTTGCTGTTAATATTCTTAAAAAAGCCTTTCTTTTTTGTCTGGCACTACACTGTCCAGTTTCAACTCTGGTTGAGCTTTGGCTTTTGGTGCCTTCTCCCTGCATAGACAAACCATGGATCCATAATATTCCTGTGAAACCTGACCTTGCTTCCAGAGATCATAGTACTTGTTTTTCCTGTTGAGTTTCATGAGTTCCCTGTTCAGTCAAGTTGGTCTTCTGCCCCACTTGCTTGACTTCTGACACAATGGGATTGCCTGCTCCTGTGCTTTTAAAAGGTGCTGCTTAAAAACTGACAGGCTCTCATGGACCCCCAAGCCCTCAAAAGCAGATCCTCAGGGGACACGGCTAAGTTGCTCCCTGAAAAACAAAGTTTGCACTCTCGAAATCCAGAGTAGCAACTCTTCCGACAGTTTTTCTCATTACACTGAAAATTTTAAACTCAACCATTTTGTGATTACTGAGGCCAAGACAACCACCTACCATCACATCCCTCATAAGTCCTTCTCTATTAGAATCATAGAATCATTTAGGTTGGAAAAGACCTCCAAGATCATCAAGTCCAACCTTTGATTAATCCCCACCTTGTCAACTAGACCAGAGCACTGAGTGCCACGTCCAGTTGTTCCTTGGACACCTCCAGGGATGGTGATTCCACCACCTCCCTGGGCAGCCCCTTCCAATGCTGGACAACCCTTTCTGGGAAGAAATTCTTCCTACAGTCAGGCTGACAGGCCTGTAGTTCCCTGGATCCTCCTTCCGGTCCTTCTTGTGGATGGGTGTCACACTGGTTTCCTAATATCCAACCTAAACCCCTCCGACACAGCTTCATGCCTTCCCTCAGGTTCTGTCACTGGTCACCACAGAGAAGAGATCAGTGCCTGCCCCTCCACTGCCCCTCACAAGGAAGTTGTAGACTGCAATAAGGTCTCCCCTTAGTCTCCTCTTCTCTAGACTGAACAAATCAAGTGACTTCAGCTGCTCCTCATACGGACTGCCAGGTCCCTTTCTGCAGCTGCTCTCCAACCTCTCGTTCCCTAGTCGTTCCTCTCATACATGCAGGGTTTTCCTGTTCCAGGTGCAGAATCTGGCACTTGTCTTTGTTAAACTTCATACAGTTGGTGATTCCCAGCCCTCTCATTTGTCAAGGTCTTTCTGCAGGACCTTTGAGTGAGTCAACATTTCAGATATGCTTCTAAAACTCCAGTACTCCCTGGAGGAGCATGAATGTTCCCACTAGCATTGCCACCCTCAGGCAATACCATGCCAACTCTTGGTTTACCTTCAGCTCTCCTGATGGTATCCCCTTCACCCATCACCTCTAGTTTAAAGTCCTCTCAACCTGTCCTGCCAGTTTATGAGCAAAGAAGCATTTTCCCCATTGGGGTAGGTGGATCCCGTCAGGACCCAGCATACCTTGTGTCTTGCAGACTCTCCCATGATTATAAAAAACAAAGTTCTGGTGGAGGCACCAGTCCTGGAGCCAGATATTGATGTTTTGAGCATGCCTGTTTCTTCCATTGATTATCCCCATTACTGGGAGAATTGAGGAAAACACTGCCTCTGCTCCTGAATCTTTCAGTTTTCTTCCCAGGGCCCTGAAATCTCTTTTGATCGACCTTGGTCTTCTTGTTGCAATGTCATTAGTACTCATGTGAAAGAGAAGGAAGTAGGCAAGAGTCTGAAGGTTGTACTGAGTTCATCAGTTGTCTGGTTACATCCCTGATCTGGACCCCAGGGAGGCAGCAAACTTCCCTGAAAAGATGATCCAGTCTGTAAATGGGTGCCTCCATTCTGCTCAGGAGAGAGTCACCAATGACCATAACTCGTCGTTGTTTCTTCTCAACACGAGTCGAGTGCATTAAGCAGGTCTTGCTGGGAGGGATTTTCTTGGCTCAGACTCTGCCAGTGTGAGACTAAAGATCATGTGAGACCCTCTATAGGGCCTGGAGTAGACTCCATTTGATCTAGATCTTGCTATTCCGTAGAATAAAAACCAGGACAATTTAGATCAATTAATAGGAAATAAAGTATGCCTGGAACTATTTGGATGCTGGTTTGGGGGGGATGATAAATAAACCAACCCTCTCCAAACTTTTCCATGTCTTCTTGTTGTTTTACTGCTGTGTATAAACAGGTTCAGACTATTCTTATATCACAAAGCGTTAATTAAGATGAGGTTGTATTGGAAATGTCTCCATTCTGATCTGAAGCCATGGCGATGGGTGATGAATTCTTCCCCCCTTCAATGTCAGACTTATTGTTGCTGATTTCCCCTGCAGAAAGATAGCATCTGATCTTTTTCACCCCTTCTTCTGTTGTTGAGCTTCATTCAGGATCTCCCAGTCCATTACATCTGAAATTCTGCCACCTCTTACCCCTAAAAGTCATTGGCTATAGACAGCTTGCTGGTACCTTCCCCCCAGAGTAGGCTGTCTAATCTGCTTTTGCTGCTGTAACCAAATGAAGATTTCTTCAGTGGAGCTAGAAAAATATTTTCCTTACCTTAGGAGGAGAAAAGGGAGCATATTTTCATAAAAACACTGCACAGAAAAATCCTGTACTAATATTTTTATTGTTCAGTTTGGGTTTTTTCTTGGGTTTTTTTTGTTTTTTCCTCAAATAGCCTTTATCCTATAAGTAACTCTCCTGTTAGTCTGGATTTGATATAATTTAATTGATAGTAATTTTGCCCTATTGAGTTTAAGTGGTTTGCATTCTGTGTGATAAAATTGATCACAGATCTCTTTCTTCCTCAGATTAGATTTTGCCTTGTTCTATAAGCAGACCTGTTGGATATAAAGAACCAGTATGAGAAAGATAGCTGAGTCTGGCCTGCTCTAATTTAAAATTTATTTTTGTTACTAGGTTTTTTGCATCTGAAGGAATAGCTAAAATGATTTGCTATTTTGTTTCTTTTTTTTTGTCTGTCTTTTGATCAGTCTGGATCGCCATATGCAAACTCACCATGGACACCATAAGCCATTCCGTTGCAAGCTTTGTCCATTCAAGTCCTCTTACAATAGCCACTTGAAAACCCATATATTTAAAGCGCATGCTGGTAAGTCAATCAGTTTCTTCCTCGAACTCTCTTGATTCCTTTCTCTTGCTGTCAGGCACATATACTTGCTCTTGTGTGCTCCCTCTTGCTCAACCTCACACACAGTCATGCTCATTCTCTCTCTCTTCCTTGTGAGCAGTCATATGTGCTTTCCACATTCTCTGCATGATCAAAAGTTCTTCTTGTGCAGTCATGTCTTCTCTCATTTTTGCGTGCCCCCTCTTAATGAAACTGTGTGCAATCACACTCTCCCACTTTCCCTCTCTTCCTCAGATGCAGTCATGCTTCTCCCTCTCTGTCTAGGTTGCGATCTCCCTCTCTCACACATGGTTGTGTGTGGTGTCTGTCATGTTATCCTTCTCTCTTGCTTGCTCACTCTCATGATTGCGCTTGCTCTCTCTTCATGTGTGGTTGCACTCTCATGAGCTGTTTCTTGCTTGCTTCCTCTCACTCTCACAGTCATGCTTCTTGTTGCTCAACCTTGTGCATGGTTGTGCTCACTATCCCTCTCTAGGTTGTGCATGCTGTTTCTCTCTTGGACGTGATGGCACATGCTCTCCCTAACTCGGTCTCAATCTCTTTATGTCTGTGGTTCACAGACCATTGTCTGCTCTCCCTTACCCACAGTCATGTTTGCTCTCCATCTCTGGGTTATGGTCTCCCTGTATCTCGTGTGTGGCTGTGAATGTTCCCTTGCTCGCTCGCTCTCTCTTTCTCTCTTTGTAGCACTCTCTCAGGGGACAGACTCATTCTCCCTCTCTGTTGCTCCCTCCTGCACTCTCTTGTACCAGGTCACCTGCTCTACATTTCTCTCCAAGTCTGGTTAGGTTTCTCTTGCTTGTGGTTTCTCCCTCTCATGTGCTCCCTCCAGCAGTCATATATTTGCTGTTGCTACCTTTCCCTTAGCATAGCTTCTAACGAGGGTCTGTTCCATGATCTTCCCAGGCACAGAGGTGAGGCTGACAGGTCAGTAGTTCCCAGGGTCCTCCTTTCGACCCTTTTTAAAGATGGGGACAATGTTTCCCTTTTTCCAGTCACCTGGGATTTCATCTGACTGCCAGAACTTTTCAAATATCATGGAGAGTAGCTTGGCAACTGCATCGGCCAAATTCCCTCAGGACTCTGGGATGCATCTCATCGGGTCCCATAGACTTATGTACATTCAGGTTGCTCAGGTGGTCATGAACCTGATCTTCACTTAGAGTGGGAAGCAGTCTGCTCCCCAGCCCCCATCTTGCAGTCCATCCCAGGTGTGGGAAGAGAGGTTGCCATTGAAGACTGTGGCAAAAAAGTTGTTAAGTACCTCAGCCTTCTCCTTGTCCATAGTTACCAGTTTGCAAGCCTTGTTTAGCAGAGCAGGTATACCTTCTTTGACCTTCCTTTCCTGGTTAACATACTTGTAGAAGCCCTTCCTGTTATTCTTTGCATCCCTTGCCAAGTTCAGCTTCACCTTGGCCTTCCTGACTCTATCATTACACAACCAGGCAGCATCCCCATACTCTTCCCAGGTCATCTGTCCCTGCTTCCACTGCCTGTGCATTTCTTTCTTGCCATTTAGTTTGACAAGGAGATCTTGACTCAGCCATGCTGGGCTGTTGTCTTCTTTTCCTGACTTCTTACACCTGGGGATCACTAGCCTTTGTGCTCTATGGAAGACTTCCCTAAAGATCTGCGAGCTCTGTTCTGTTCCCTTGTCCCCAAGGGCAGTCTCCCAGGGGATCCCACTGACTATCTCCCTGAAGAGCTGGAAGTTTGCTTTTCTAAAGTCCAGGGTCCTGACTTTACTCTTCACCTGACCCATATCCCTCAGGACTGCGAACTCCGTCAATTCATGATCACTGCAGCCCAGGTTGCCTCCAATCTTCATGTCCCCGATTAGCTCACTGACGTTGGTGACCATCAGATCCAGTATTGTGTTCCCTCTGGTAGGGTTGTCTATTACCTGGCTCAAGAAGTTGTCCTCCATGCATTCCAGGAGTCTCCTGGATTGCCTACATGTCACTGCGCTACTTTCCCAGCAGATGTGGGGGTGGTTGAAGTCCCCTGATGCTGCAGTGTACTCAGAACACCTCAGCACAATATTCTGAGGGCCCTTAATAGTCCCTGTCCCTCTAACCTGAGTGTGTTGTCCCACAGTTTGTCATGGGTAAGCCTGATATTATATATTGTTATGCTCAAGCTCTCCCACGAAAGAAATTGCACTGTTGCTCTTTGGGTCAAATGCTCCCTCTTTCTTGGTCATAAGCTTTGACTCTCAGTCTCTGGGTCACATTCTTTGGGACCTGTGCAATCTTTTGCTCTTCGGGTCCCTCTCCCCCCTCTCTATCTGTCTGTCTCATATTCTTGTCTAACCTCTCTCTCATTCCCACTTCATCCCTCTTACCCCCCCCGTGGGCTACCCTCTCTCTATGGGTCAATTTCTCTCTCACATAGTTAGGGCATCTTTCTCTCTACACTGGCACCCCTCCCGAGGCACCACTCTCTGGGTTGTCTCCTCTTGCACCTGCACTCTTTCTTTCTCTGAGCCCATATCACCCCCTCTTCCACTGCCTGCCCCACTCTCACCCTCCCTTACTCACCCCCTCCCCTTCTCCCCCCTTTCCTCTTTCTGTCTCTGCTACCCAAGTTCTCCCTCCCTCTGCTTCTTTACATGTGTCTCTCTCTGTGGTTCACCCTCTCTTTGCATCGCTGCCCACCTCCTTTGGGTTGCCCTCTCACTCTTTCTCTCTGGGTCAACCTCTCTTGGGTTCTCTGGGTTCAGGTCCTCAGGTTGGCCTTTATCTGTATTTACCTCTTGTTCACCTCCTCCCCCCCTTCTGTAGCACATAGTCTCTCTCCTTTCGTGTTACCACCTCTCTCTCCCTTGGTTCCCCATCCCCTTTTTGGCTTGCCTTCTCTTTTCCCTCATCCTCCATGCCCCCACTCCCATTTGGCTGACCTCTCTTGCCCTCGTTTAATCTCTCTTCCTCTTCCTCTCTGTGGGTTTCCCTCTCTCCATAAGTTGCCATACCTCGCATTTGGGTCATCCTCTCTCTCTTGAGAGGGTCGACCTCTCTGGTGCACTCTTTGTGTGTCGCGGATGTTGTCTTGGATGCCCTGTTTCTCTCTCTGGGTCTCATTCTAGGTCCACTTGCCCCTCTCTTTCTCTCTGGGTTGATCTCTGCCTGTCTGTCTTTCTTGGTTGCCCCATCCACCCCCTGAACACCACCGCCTGTGTTGTGCGCACTCTCCCTCCCTTTGGTTCACTCCCCCCCTCAATTCCTCTTCCTCTTTCTCATTGCCAGTCGTCCCCTATCCCTCTCTCTCAGTCACACAAGTTCTCTCTTCCTTGTGAGTTGCTCTCTTTTTCTGGGTTGAGTTGCCCCTCTTTCTGGGCCCCGCACACTCATTCTCTCTTTTAATTTCCCCCATGGTATGGTGGTTACTTGCTCTGGGAAACGGTTTATTTTCCCCTCTCACTCCAGATCGATCTCTCTCTCTGGGCTACGCCCGCTCTCTTGCTGGACCATACCTGCCATCTCTCTCTCTCTGGGTCAAGCTCTCACTTGCTTGGTCATGGGTGGGCCCCCCCTCCAGCTCACATGCTCTCCCTCCCTCTCTCTGGCTCTTACTCTCTCTAGGTCACACTACCGCTCCCTGAGTTACACACACACCCTGACTCATGCTCTTTCTCTATGGGCCATTCTTTGTCAGTCAAACACACTCTCTCTCTCTCTGGGTCATGCCCCTTCCCTCCCCATCATGCTGTCTTCCCCACCATGCTCTCTGTGGGTGATGCTTTTGGTCCCATTCTCTTGTCTCGGTCACTTCCTCTCTGGGTCATGTTCTATGTCTGCCTGGGTCACACCCCCCCTCTTTCTTGCTCTCGTCCACGCTCTCTCTCACTGGGTCTCTCTCTGTCTCATACTTTGTGTCTGCCTCTGGGTCACATGTGCTTTATATTTTTTTTTGTGTTGTGCTCAATCCAGTTCACGCTCGCTCTCTGGGCCGTGCTTATGTTCTCTCTGGATCATGCTTGCTTTCTGTCTGTCTTGATCATACTCATTTCTCTGTGTCATGCTCTCTCTTGGACCCATGCACTCTCTCTCTTTGGGTCACATGCACTTGCTGACTCTTTGGATCACATGCTCTTTCTTTCTCCCTCTATGTGTCTTTTTCTCTGGCATGTGCATGCTGTTTTTGGGTTGCATGTGGTCTCTGGGCCAGTCACATGCTCTTTTGCAGTTTCTTTGTCATGCACACTTTTTCAGAGGATGTGCTCTCTGTGTCATAAGTATACTCTGCATTGGGCTCATGCTTTGTCTTGGTCAGATGCTTGCTCACCCTCTGATTTCAGAACTCTCTCCCTCTTTGTAGCACTCTCACTCTGGGTCCCTCTTTTACCTGTTTTGTTTCCAGTAAGTTCTTTAGCAATATATCCTATTGAATAATAACCTTGTGGATATTTTTCACCAGTCTTCCAGTAATACAGTGTTCCTGTGACTTTCATTAGTTTAAGGGTTTTTTTCTCTTTCTCTTGTAGATATTCTGTTATGTAATTTATTCTTAGAGATGTGAATCATGCCCGTACATTTGTTTAAAGTGCCCTGGCAGTTGTAAAAATCCAGGTGTCTTCATGTCATATGTCTCTTCATGTCCATTATCTTTTGGTGAGCAAACTCCATTTATTATAAAATGCATTCTTGCATAATAGCTAGAATTGTTAAGGGATGTTAGGAACAGCTGCCTCCTCCAGAAGTTCCAGTCCAGGACTTCGTCCTCCCCAGCCACTAGACCAGTGGCTAGTCCAGCTTGAAGTTAGCTAGCAAATACATCCCCCCACCCCATGCACACAGTTTGGGGAAGCCTGGCACCAGTCACATGGGCTGTGATCCACTCCAGCCACTGACACAGAGCCTCTTACTCGCCTCACTCATACCAGTCCTTCCCAGCAGCTGGTTGTTGAGACACTGTATTAGGGAGGGGTTTGAACATACTGAAGCCTGAAAACCAAGACACCATTGCAAGTTCGACAAAAACCAATATTTATTACCAAGAGGTGGCCAACAAAACGAACAAATCCAAAAGGGAGGAAGGAGGAGAGAAATAAGCCCCCAGCGGGACCTCCCCAGTTACCCAGTTGTTGCCCATAAAGTTATCTTACCGACCTAGCATGCCTATAATTACCCACAGCAGAAGCTGCATCCTTGGAGAGTCAGTAAGTTCACAAACTGGCAGGCGTCCCTGCCAAAAGGCAACATTGTCCTTGGTGTGAAGTTAGCTTTTCTTCAAGAAAGCACTATGCTTTTTATACAATTAATTGAGTGGCCACAACCTCCCAGGTGTGGTCAGCACCGCCCAGCCAGAGGCCCTCAGTCCCACCTCCCGGTTATGTCAGTGCATCTTTTCTGCGCACCCGTGGCTTTCCCTGCGCCTGCGTACTGTACTCAGGGGGGTCTTTTCCAAATGAGTCTGGGGGAATCCTTCATCATCCTCCTCCTCAGTCTCTCCTTCAAGCGACCTTGGAGGACAACTAGCCAATCACAGAATACCAATTAAAACAGTTTATACAAGAAGCTCTTTTCAAGGACAACTTTCCCGTTTATCAGTGCTTGTTTTCCCATAACTTGGCAGGGAAAGAGCAAAGCTTTCACAGGTGGCAGGGCCAAACACAGATCAAAAGTATCAGCATAAATTCACCCTGGTACATTCCACCGCGTGGTCTGTGGTTGGTCCATGACACAGGTGAGTGACTCATCTCCAAAAATGTGTAACAGCAAAAGTACAGACAATACTATCTTGGTAATCATGTCCATTCCCAGGAGGGAGATCCAAGTTCCAGAGATCAGCTACTCGGAGTCAACAGTTCTTAGGATAATCATTCCCCGGTTGGCAGACCTAGTTTCTCAAGTTGGGACAGACGAACAGGTGTGTCCACTCGTATGGGCCCGGACAATGCACTGAAACTCAGGGTTTCCTGCAAAATGTAGCTTTAGACTATTAGACAATTTTATACTTCAGATTCATCGTTTATAGCGTGAAGTGGTTGACTGCCAGTCACAGATTTATGGGCCTGTTAGGAGCCATCACAGGCAATGTATATTTGGAGTTTGATGCAACACCAGACCACATCCTGGTCTAACCAATTGCTCCCACAGAAAGTTTACACTCTCTGTAAAGATTCCAGGTCTCATCGGGGCAAGCCGTCCTGCCACAGTTTACCCCTGACTGCAGTCAATCCCCTCCACCTCATGGAGTGATAGTGCAGGTATCTCTTGCCTCCATGCTATAAAAGAAACCATTTCTGCACTTAACTAGAATGTTACCAGTTCATCACAAGAAAATTGCAGGCATGATGTGAGCCAGAGCCCATAGGGAGGTCCACAAACATCAGTCCTTCATTTGCAGTCTTGCCAACCAACTTTTCAATGTAAGACTTTTCTTCTGTGAGGCCCAGCACCTCACCCATGGTTATTTCACGATCACATATATTCTTGTGTAGACTCGTAAGCCAAAAGGTTTCTGTCATTTGTTGATTCCAAATAATTCTTGCCACCTGCTGTAACACTACTGGAACAAAACACATACAAATATGAGCACTGGAAAACAATCAATGTCTGATTTAGAATTCCTGAACCACACCATTCTGCCTGATCTTCACAAACATCACTGGTGTGACTTGAACAGCACAGAAACAGATCGCTCTACACAGCGATGACCATTAGGCTTCAGGATGTTACAAGTTCTATAGTTTTCCATTGTCTTCTTTCCCCCCTTAGTGACACGTCTGCCTCATCCCAGGAGGCAAAACCAAGCACAATTGCAGACACTCTGCACACGGCAATCACATATTACCTTCACATCCTAAAGCCAGGGCTCAGCTCTAGCCTTTACTTTTAACACTGTTGCCAGAACAACTTGACAGCACACTGTTCAGGAATAGTATTCCAATCCTGATTGTTGCTTACCAGCAATACAAAACAAAGCACAACCAACCTATTTTGTCATTCAAGATCCGTGGCCTGCACTGAATAGGCTAATGCAGGAGTAGTCATGGCTGTAACTGCTGTATCTTCCCAGCCCCTGGCCAGGCTCACTGAGAACCACAAATAATAAACAAGGATCACCTGAAAGGCATTGTTCATTGCACAAATCACATCATCAGGTGTGGACAAAAAGACACACAACAGACAGGTACACAATAACTGAATCATTACACCAGTTAGTAAGAGTTAGTAGACACAAATGAACCATATTTAGGATATGTTTTCTTCCATGTGATAGTCGAGCTGGTCTTGTGCTGCGCAGCATTCACTGATCTCTGTCCAGAATTCTTGCCACTCATAAGGTTTCATCAAACATGCTGGAAGCCAGCAGGGTCCTGTGGGAGACAAAACACAAACAACCCCCCCCCTTCCCATACTAACAACTTAATATCTACTTGAGGTGTCTGTTTGTGATCTCAGCTCACACGTGCCCACCTCGTGAACTAAATGGCCACCGTGTGAATCGAAAATTACCACCGCGTGAACCTAAATTAACAGGCCTTCCAAACTTTCAGGAACCTAAACCCACAATGACTTTGAGGCTGGCAGCTGCTGTCTCACTGCCCCCACCAGGGCCATAAAACCCCATATCCACTAGCACCCTCAGGGCACAGAGTATCACTGGTTCCACGCAGGTTAATTCAGAAGTCACAGCATAACATACCGAAGAGTCACAGCAACTAATTTTTCACAACCATCATGAAAACAAAGCTCCTTGACTGCATCCCAAGCAGTGCTTCAGCTAATTCTCTAATTGTCTTCTCCGTACAAAGCTGGCTTCTAAAAATCCAACCTTTCTGGAAGGCACAATTGGGGCTGCTCTGCACCCTCAGAGGAGAAACCATAGAATCATAGAATCATAGAATAGATTGGGTTGGAAAAGACCTCCAAGATCATCAAGTCCAACCTCTGATCCAACTCCAATTACTATATCATGGCACTAAGGGCCACATCCAATCTCTTTTTAAAAACCTCCAGGGATGGTGAAGTAGGTGTTAAGTACCTCAGCCTTCTCCTCATCTCTATTAACTATGTTTCCCTCCAAGTCCCTCAAAGAATGGAGGTTTTCTTTGCCCCTCCTTTTGTTATTAATGTATTTATAGAAGGACTTTTTGTTATCCCTAACAGAAGTGGCTAATTTAACTTCAAATTGCGCTTTTGTATCCCTGATTTTCTTTCTGCATGATCTAGCTGTCTTCCTGAATTCTTCGTAAGTAGCCAGCCCTTTCTTCCACAGTTGGTAAACTCTCTTTTTATCCCTGATTTCCTTCAGAATCTCCCAGTTTAACCAAGCTGGTTGTCTTCCCCGCCAGCTTGCCTTTTGGCACACCGGTACGGCCTGTTCCTGTGCACTCAAAACTTCCTGCTTGAAGCACATCCATCCCTCCTGGACCCCTTGTTTTCAAGGGTTGTTTCCCAGGGTATGCTCTGGACTAGACTTCTGAATAGGTCAAAATCTGCCCTCCGGAAGTCCAGCGTAGAGGTTTTATTGTTGTTTCTCCTTGAATCTCTGAGTATTGAAAATTCTATTATTTCATGGTCACTATTTCCCAGGCGGCCTCCAACCACTACATCTCCCGTCAGCCCCTCTCTGTTTGTAAACAGCAGGTCTAGCGGGGCCTTACCCCTGGTAGGTTCATTTACCAGTTGATGAAGGAAATTGTCCTCTATACACTCCAGGAATTTCCTAGACTGCCTCTTCTCTGCAGTATTGAGCTCCCAGCAGATATCCGGCAGATTAAAGTCACCCACAAGGACAAGGGTTGACGATTTCGAGACATCCGCCAGCTGCTTGTAGAATATTTCATCCCCTTCGTCATCCTGGTTGGGCGGTCTGTAACAGACACCTATGATGATGTCGGCCTTGTTGGTCTTCCCCCTGATTCTGGTCCACAGGCACTCAACCTTATCGTTGCTGATCTCAAGTTCAACAGAGTCAAGAGACTCTCTAACATATAAAGCCACCCCTCCACCTCTCCTACCCTGCCTGTTCTTTCTGAAGAGCTTGTAGCCATCCATGGCAACACTCCAGTCATGCGAGTCATCCCACCACGTTTCTGTGATGGCGACTACATCATAGCCTTCCTGCTGCACAATGGCTTCCAGCTCCTCTTGTTTGTTGCCTATACTGCGTGCATTAGTGTACATGCACTTCAGGTGGGCTGTTGATTTAATTCTTAACTCAGGCTTTCCATCATTAGGCTGATCACTGTAGAGCCCGGTTTCAACCCCTTCCCCCTTCAAACCTAGTTTAAAGCCCTCCTGATCAGCTTCGCTAACTTATGGGCTACAGTCCTCTTTTTTGTCCTAGAAAGATGAATCCCATCTGATTTTAAGAAACTAGGTACCATGGAGTTTGCCCCATGGTCAAAGAAACCAAAATTTTGACGGTGGCACCAATCCTTTAGCCATCTGTTGAGGAGTTGGGCTTTTTTACTCCACTCTTTATTTAACTCCTCATCCATCCCAGATAGTACAGGAACTGAGGCAAATATCACCTGTGCTCCTGTCCCCTGAACTGACCGACCCAAACCAGCTCCTGGGGGCTGTTGGATTCCACAAATTAGATGCTATTAGCCATGCCAACTTGACAAACATAACCACAAACCCCCTAAACAGGGCTTTCAACACAATCAGATCCCAAACATAGGCACAAATTAATCAATCAATTCAAAGTTCCAACCCTTTTTCCCTCCTCGTCAAATTTAATATTATTCTTAACCTTCTTCTCTAAATCTGACTATAACATGTGTGCGAAGGCATCCAATTGCCCATGTGCACCCAGCACCTGGTGTTTGCTGACCAAAAACACACACTATATAAACACTTTTTCCCTTATTAAAGTTACCAAAACCGAAAGTTATCTCCCTGCTACCTCAGCTGCCGCGGCTGCGGCTCTCCCTCTGCCCGGGGAAGGAGAAAGGAAAAGCAGCTAGGAGCTGTTTTTACTCTTTTTTTCTTGACTCCCTACAGCTGCAGCCGCCCAGCACCCCCGCCTCCGGAGAGAGGAGGGGGAGGAAAAACGGCCGGGAAAAGCGACCAGACAGAAGATGCCTTTTTTTTTTTCTCTGCCCGCTGCAATCTGCCACCGGGCTCCCGCCGGCCCCCCCTGCAACCCCAGCGGCAGCGGCCCATCCAGGTGTAGCCTGGCACAAGTGGAAGCCCCTGTTCCTCCCGACAAATCGAAATAGAATTAAACTCAACAAGAACACAGCCTAGTGGACCCGGGGGGGCTGCCCCTCCCCCGAGTCCCAGACCTCTCGACAAGACACCATCCAGCGCAGCCCCGCAGGAGAATTTCTCCTGACAGGTCCCGGATTTCTGAGTTCTAAGCCCGGCGCGTCCCCAGGGAAATGCTCCCTTAGGGGTCCCGGCCCCAATTCAGACCGGCACGTCCCCAGGGAACCTCCACCTCCCTGGGTCCCGGCTTCAAACACAGACCCGCGCGTCCCCAGAGAACTTCCACCTCCCTGGGCCCCGGCTCCAAACACAGACCGGCGCGTTCCCAGAGAACTTCCACCTCCCTGGGTCCCGGTTTTTCGGCAAGCCCCCATCCGGTGCGGTTCTGCAGGAAATCCTTTCCTGACAGATCCCGGACTTCTCAACAAGTATCCCAGAGCCCAGTGCAGCTCCACAGGTGAAAAAAACCGCTACCCCCGGTGGCCCCAGGGGCAACAGCCTTTGCACTAAACTTGACTCCTATACGATCCTATATCAAAACTCCTGTATCTGCCTGGGACACTTTGATGACAGGGATAACACCACAACCTCTATCTCGGAGTTTAAACACCATGTCCTCTGCCCGTGCCTCCCTGACACGCTCACAAACACTAACACTTGACTCAGAAAGAGTCTTGTCGGACAGCAACCAGCCAACCCTGCCTCTCTGAGCAGTGATCGGTCCCTTCTGATGTCTCTTCCCAGCATATATGCTGAGCATAATATCCCACGGCATGGAATATTCCTTTGGCCTGTTCAAGCCAGCACTCCTGGCTGTGCTACCTCCCAGCTTTCCTGCGCACCAGCTCTCTAGAGAGCATGAAATACCATAGGACTATCAGTGTCATTCTCACACTGAATCCAAAACACAGAACTGTAACTGCTATCACAAAGTAGTTTAATTCTATCCCAGCCAAAACCAAGTCTATTACAACAACACCATAGAGAGAAGACGAAGATCAGCAGAAGCACAGGGAGTCAACTATATTCTGTAGCCTGCCACCCTAGCCCAATTTCCTACAAAAAAACAGTAGTTCACTCCACAGACTATGCATCCCACCTGCGAATCCTACTTTGTCCGTGGCAACGGTGTGTTTCGTGTTCAGGATGACATACTCGTCGCCAAAAATGTATTAGGAAGGGGTTCGAACATATTGAAGCCTGAAAACCAAGACACCATTGCAAGTTCGACAAAAACCAATATTTATTACCAAGAGGTGGCCAACAAAACGAACAAACCCAAAAGGGAGGAAGGAGGAGAGAAATAAGCCCCCAGTGGGACCTGCAGGGAAAGAGCAAAGCTTTCACAGGTGGCAGGGCCAAACACAGACCAAAAGTATCAGCATAAATTCACCCTGGTACAGACACACACTGTTCCCACTCCAGTGACTGGAGGTTAAAGACCCCTACTTGCACCAGTATATGACACCACGGGCCAGGGCCACCTACATCCCCAGTCTGACTCCAGTAACTGGCACCAGATTCCACTCACACCGATCTCACTAGTAGCTGGTACTTAGTCCTTGCAGCACACATATACACAGGATAGAGTGAGATTACACAGAGTGATAGTTAAGAAATATTTATGAAGATATTAGAAGACAGGACAGACTGTGGTGATCAGATGCAGGGCTGTCAGACAAGTGTACTGACTGGCCTTGTTTTACATGTGTCTGATCCCTTTTATACCCCTTTCTGCCTACCACCCTTTTTGTTCCTCCCTGCTCCCCCTTCCCCCTGTATGTTATGTCATGAGTTCCATAGTTCTATGGATTCCTGCACCCCTCCCAGTCCAGTATCCAGGATCCCCTCTGGTTTGCAATCTTATCAGTTGCAAAGTCCAGGTTCATCTTCCTGGAAGTGGAGCCTGTGGTTTCTTTGTAGTTCATCAATTAGTGTGACTGGTCAGGTTTATTTCCTTGTTATTGTCTCCATGTTTGTTCTGTCAGGTCTGTTTCTGTATATTTTCATTTCTGGTTTCCCCCTTTTTCCGTTGGTTTCTCATTTGACAAGGTCCTTGATCATATAACCTTGCTGGAATAAACATTCTCACACTCTTAGTGTGATTGAACAGGTTTGGTTCTCATCACTGACTCCCTTATTTTTTGGTCAGGTTTATGTCCCTGAATGTTCTTGTTTATGGCTTCTTCCTTTTCTTATTATCCTTTTTTTCTGTTGAAGAAGGCCCTTGACCAGATACCTTTAAAGGAACAACTCCACACAACTCTCAGCATACCGGTAGCTATAATACCAGGTTATCTATTAATTGTGTTACTCACATGAAAGCAGCAATCTGATGTATGCAAGATCCTTCATGTCTAGCTTCAGGATCATTCATTCCCCTTAAACCCCTCACACAACTTGCTCTTTTGCACCTTTGGTTCCTATATCAGGGCCACACCTTGATTAATCCTTAAACCTTACTTATTATGAGACATCTGGTAGGCTATATATCAACATTTCCTCTTGTAATCGCAACATCCGACAGTTTTGGCACTTTTGGTTCCTTTTCTTTTGGGGAGAGTGAGTATCTTCAGGCTGCCTCTCCAGTGCACTGAGGTAATTACAGTCTAAGACTTGAACATACAATGTGTTGTGGCCTAGTTTTGGTCCTCAGGAGTTGCCAAATGAGATGGTTGAAGTATATGGGGAATCATCTGAACACTGATGTACTTTGTCTTCCATTTGGTTATGGTGTGTCCACAGACTCACCATGTTGCTATTTGATGAATGTTTGCAGGACAAAATTTCTTACTTTTACACTTCCTCTAACTTTCTCAACACTTGTAGTTTCCGACTAAATGTACAACGTATTTTTATCTCACTTTTTTTCGCACCTTTATCATATTTTTTTCATGCTTTTTACATGTCCCTAACGCTGCATTAAAAAACTGACCCCTCCATCTCGCACTCATCCACCTCACCTTCCTCCACAAATCAGGATCAAACAACCCCCTAGATATTGTATCAAACTGCAACAAAATCCCATTCCACCCATACTTTTCCATAAACACTTTCACAGAATATGCCAAGTTCAAAGGGACCCACAAGGATCATCAAGTCCAACTCCTGGCCCTGCACAGGACCATCCCCAAGAGTCATACCATGTGCCTGAGAGTATTGTCCAAACGCTTCTTGAACTTTGTCAGGCTTGGTGCTGTGGCCACTTCTCTGGGGAGCCTGTATTTTGCATTACTCAGTCCATCATGCATGCTTTATAAAAACCATTTGCATTATCTTTGTTTACTGCTGATACATCTATGGTAATAATATTCAGGTGCAGAACGTAATTTGAAAACACACATAATATTTTGTTTCAACATTTAAGACTTGGATCTTTTTCAGATACACCAATGTGGGTTTCTAAGAGTCTATATTTTGTCCCTGTGTAATAGGGAGAGTTCGTAGCATACTGAAGCTGAAACCATGACACCATGAAAATCTCAACAAAACTATTTATTATCAAGAGGTGGCCAACAAAATGAACAAACCCAAAAGAGAGGATGGAGGCGAGAAATAAGCCCCCAGCATGACCTCCCCAGTTACCCAGTTGTTGCATATAAAGTTATCTTACTGTCCCAGAATGCCTATAATTACCCATAGCAGGAGCTGCATTCCCAGAGAGAGTAGGCTCACAAATTGGCAGGCGTCCCCATCAAAAGGCAACATTGTCCTTGGTGTGAAGCTAGCTTCCCTCAAGGAAGACCTATCTGCTTTTTATACAATTGAGTGACCTCAACCTAGGCAGGTGTGGCCAGCACTGCCCAGACAGAGGCCCTCAGTCCCACCCCCCGTTATGCAAGTAATAGCTCTTCTGTGCATGCGTGACTTTCCCCGCGCCTGCGCACTGCACCCAGGGGAGTCTTTTCCAAATGAGTCTAGGGGTTTACTTCATACCCATAGTCTTCAGTCTCTCCTTCAAGCAACCTTGGAGGACGATCAGCCAATCATAAAACAGCAATTAAATATAGTTTATACAAGAACTCTCTTCAAGGATGAAGTTCCCATTTTATCAGTGCTTGTTTTCCCATAACTTGGCAGGGAAAGAACAAAACTTTTACAGGTGGCTGGGCCAAACACAGACCAAAAGTATCAGCATAATTAACCCCTGATACACCCTGTGATTAGCATAGGTGTTTTGGGGGGAGGTATTTCCATGTAGAATGATTACTAATCTCTGTGTGCTTGTGATGACTGGCTGTGATACTTTTTTTTCTCGTCCTCTTTTTGTTCACTTATTTCTGAAGTTAGAAACCATTCTATTCTAGGACCTTGTTTGTTAAATTTGTTGAGAAATGGAAAACATTTTTCTACCTCTTTCATAACCAGAGCTCTTATTCTTCCATTAGTGTTCTTGAATATTTCACCCTTGTATTAGTTTTGTCATTTTACGTACAATTTGCATGCAGTCAGTGTAGCCCTTTTACCTGGGAACGGCACTTCCAGAATAATTACTTGTCACACATATAGCATCACATCACTTACGTTGGACATTTCTCTTTTTCTTTCAGGTGTCTCCATGCTTAACACAAAACAAGTCTTATCTAGGAAATTTGTTTCCTATTGTATTCTGTCTTTATGACTTGGAATGTATTTGGAACCAAATTCACTGCTGTTCATTATTTCTTTTCTTTCACTTCTTGTAATATTTTTCTATAATATGATTTCCCATAGCCCTATAAATATGTATGGCTCTTGGTATTGCCATGTCCACTTCTTGTAGTAAACTGACTTGGTTTCTAGTTCTATGGAACTCATTCCTGCCTGGAGACAGGTTTCATATAAGGAAAATGAGATCCTCCTTGCATTAAGTGCAGGGGAAGGCAATGGGCAGTTTGTTTGGTTTTATATTTTGTGGTTTTGTTTTAAGAACCTTAGTTAACATTTTATAGTCTCCTGGTTTCTTTAGTAATGATTCTGGATGTGTTGCATGGAAAAACACAGAGGACTTCACCCTTGATTTCCTCCCAAAGTAATTTGGAAATGCTCTAGCCAAGCAGCTCTTTTTTCATCCAAGACTTTTCTTATACCATGAAACACAGGCATGCTAAAAATCTGGTCTTTGTTTTCTGGCATCAGTCATTTAACAAGAATCTAGAATTGTCAGAAAACAAAACTTTGAGCCCACAGCAGGTGTCTATACCTGCAGACTTCAAACTGTTTCAACAGGGAGATGCACACAGTTTGTTCTATTTGGAATAAGTCTTACACTGAAGGAGGACATAGGAATTTTACTGCTGAGTTCAACAGGAAAAGAATGTGGATCCCATTTCGTTTCTTCTGTGAACTGATGACTTACCTGTATTTTGCTCACCCAGGTGAACATGCCTACAAATGTTTTTCCTGTACATTTTCCACCATGACAATCAGCCAGCTAAAAGAGCATTCCTTGAGAGTGCATGGGAAAGCATTGACATTACCAAGACCCCGTGTTGTCAGCCTCTCAGCCTCACTTGGCTACTGCACCTCCAAGAAACACACTTCTGCTGAAGAGGTGGAGGACTCTAATGGTAAGAGGTGCCTCAGAGCAAGAATTTAATTGTCTAAAATACTACTTAATATTATTAATGTTATTATTAAAAAAAATTAGAGTGACAATTAGAAAAATCCAAAGTTGCATGAAAAGCAAGAATAAAGGTGGTGTTCTAGTACTTGACCTACAGTTGAATCTCACCAGTTTATTCTTTACCAACTTATACTGCCAGTATTCCTTTGGAATAAGTCAAGCTGACCTTACTTTTCAGCAAAGATTTACAACATAGGAGATTTCAATGGCAGAGCTCCCATTAAAATTCAGTGAGAAAGAGAGCATCTAATTCCATTTGCATTTCTAAAAAACACTCCTTTATCTTGTTAGCAGAGAAATTTAGTGAAGCCACTAAAGATTAAGTGTGAAAAGTAGAGGGAATAGCTAGACAACTTCCTATTTTATGCTTTTTATGGAAATGGGTGCATACACAGATCCTGATGTTTGAAATACAGACAGATGACTTATTTTTAAGTTTTGCCTTGTATTTAGGCTATGGAGTTTTATTGCTTGTGCTACAAATAAGAATCCTGAGTTCAGTTCTGGACCACTCATGACAAGAAAGGCATTGAGGGGCTGGAGCGTGTCCAGAGCAGGGAACGGAGCTGGGGAAGGGTCTGGAGCAGCAGGAGCGGCTGAGGGAGGTGGGGAAGTTCAACCTGGAGAAAAGGAGGCTCAGGGGAGACCTTCTGGCTCTGCAACTCCCTGACAGGAGGGGGGAGCCAGGTGGGGGTCGGGTTCTGGCTCCCAGGGAACAAGGGACAGGAGGAGAGGAAATGGCCTCAAGTTGCTCCAAGGGAGGTTTAGATTGGATATTAGGAAAAATTTCTTCACTGAAAGGATTGTCAAGTATTGGAGGAGGCTGGTGTGGAATCACCGTCCCTGGAAGTGTTCAAAAGGCATGTGGATATGGCATTTGGGGATACATTCCCATTTTTCCCCAACAAGTTTTAAATACTCATTGAGGTTTTGTGCACTTATTCCATGTTTGCTCTGAACTCAGAAGTTAAACATCTCCTTGATGAGTTTCTTTTGTCATATAGATGCTGATTGGTCTGATTCTGTAATTGATATTCTAGTATGGATTTACCAGGAAAGTGTGATGTTTTCAATTTTATCTGCCTTGCTCCCCGTGGTCATTGAAATATTTCTTTATTAGCATTTTGCAGATATAATATGTTTTCGGTGAACTCAAACCATTGAGTCTATTGGTTTTCTTAAGTAATATTTTTCCTTACATCCCCAGCTCTGATTTTGCAAGCATTTAAATACATATATTAGATTTGCCTAGTTGGGGGGAGTTGTGAGACACTGGATTATTATATTGGCTCAGAACAACTCAGGTGTGTGTGTGTGTGGGAGGGATAGGTGGAATTTCACAGAGGTGAGGTAATGCTCTATCCCACATGCCAGCCCCTGCAGCCTTGACAGGTGGCCCCAGAGCAGCTGTCAGTCAAAGGTAGCCTGGGAGCACGCCCACATCACACCCCCTGGAACCCCTAACCCAGCTGGCACAGTGGGAGCACCACCCCTCACCCTGCCCTGGAGCCCCAGAGTGGCCAGTGGGCCATAAGTCCCACCTGGGAGGGGTGACCACAGCAATAAAAACAGGAACATGTACTGTCCATCTTTGCTTGAGACCTACCATCTGACCATGTGGAAGCTGGGCTTTCACAGGACTCCAGTGGTGGTGTTACAACCTGCCCCAGAAAAGGGAGGGTAACCCAGGTTCTTAATAATAAATCCCTTGGGGTGGATTAGAGTGAAATGACACTGAATAATCCATGTTTGAAACCATATACATATCTTCTTTGTGGACGGTGCCTTTCATATAGTGGGCAGAAAAAGAGAAGAGTAAAGAAAAGGAAAAGATAGCACAAATATTTTCCCAATGCAATGCAATTCCCCCCCCAAAAAAAACCTTATAGTAAAATATTGAGCATATGGGACATAACAGGATCTCAATAGCTACAATCAGATTTCCTAACATTAACAAAGTTACAAACATCAGGATTTAATACTGACACAAATCTAATTTTAAAAGCTTCTCCCACGCCAATTTGTTTTTCAATAAAAAGACAAAATAAACTTGGTAAAAATTAAACTAGCAATACATAAAATGACTTGTCTTACACAATCTTACCAGTGAGTTGCTCATGATAAAAACACAAATAAGTCAACAATTATTAATAAGTTTATAATACAAGCAATTTTGGGAGTAGAGGAGACACAAACAATGTTTGTAGTAAACTTTCACATATTGCAAAACTACTGAGACAAAAATACATACAGATATGCATATTACGAAGTTATTAAGATAAAAACACAAACACATGCAAACAATCAGCGCTGCAAAGAACAGTACAACTCTCCAGTCCTGTTGTTACTTCATTTTCTCATGGGATACTTGTAAACTGATAATAGAAGCAGTTGTGGGGGCAGTTATTTTTCCTGCCTATTGCGGCAATTGAAAACTTCATCGGTCTCACGCAGTTTGATCTCATCTGCTGGCAGGTTCCTGCAAAAAGAGGAAATCTGGCCCACTATGGACCCATTATTAAAAAGAAGGAACTATCTATTTATCCATCTCCTTTTCTTATCTGGGATGATGCCACTAGGGCAGCAATAATGGAGAAGTCTGAAATATGTTTTCTCCAAAAAACAAATAAACTCAGAGCATGCTGGAGCTCCTTTTTACTCCTCAGCATCTTTATTTGCTCTAGGGTGGCCAAGGTGTCAGGGGGAATACACACTGCTACTTTCTCTGTGGGAATTTGAAGTCTCAGACTTTCCAAATGGGTGATAGTATTTGTCTGAGTCTGGTCCCCTGTGGTGACATCAGCAATGTGGGCAATCAGTTCAGCTTTGTTATGTACAGCAGCTGTTTGTGAGCCAGTGTCAGCATCGAGGTAACTCACTGGCAGCTGCCACAGCCCATTAGGTTCATGGACAGGCCATACAGGAGAACTGTATGGTGAGTGTATGGGGACAACTACCCCTTGCTCCTGCAATCCTGCAATTTCTGGGGTAATGTTTTCACATGTTCCTAAAGGGAGTGGGTGAGGGTTTACATTTGTTGTTTTGCAAGGAGGCAGACTTGGAGCAGTTTGCAACAGATGGACAGAGGGGGATGGGAGACCAAACACCCATTTCCTCCCTCTGGCATCTGTCCAGGCCCGTCCCTTTAATAGATCCAACCCCAAGATGTTAGCTGGTAATGGCCCCACAATCATGACAGCTTCTGTGGCTGTCTCATCTTCAGGTAATCAGCATTTCACCCGAGCAGTGTACTGGGGTCGGGATTTGCCAAAAGCGTCAGCTACCCATATCTTTTTTTTGTCTGGCTTAATGCCACAATGAGCAGCAACTTTAGTTTGGAGTGCTGAGACCTGTGCACCAGTATCTACCACAAAGGTAGCTAAGGATTTAAGAGGGCCCAGGGGAAAGGTGATTACCAAATCTCCCTGGCTGTTTTCAGTGAACTTTCTCTCATAAACCCACTGGTCGTTCTTTGACTTATTTACTTGAGAGCAGCAAGTCCAGTTTCTTGACTCAGAACTGGTCAAACTGGTTAGTCCAGTTTCTGAAGAGGCTGAGGGGATCACAGTGTTGGACTCCTTAGGGGGGTTGCTCCTAGGAGGTGACTCATGCTTTTTGATCTTATCCCAGTGCTTTATCAAGTATTCCAAATTACCGGTGGGTAATTTGTCCATCACTTCTCCAGAAATTCCTTTTGTAACATCCTCCACCCACAAACTGTACCTCTTTCGCCCACTAGATGACACATTTTGTTGACAAATACCTGGTGAGGCAGGTTTTTGGACCTTCCCTGCCCTCCTGATGTGTGTTCTCTGGCCACTTGTACCAGAGAGTCCCAGCTGCTGACCAGTAGCTATTAATTCTTGGGCTACCTCCAACCAGGTTATTCCTGGTGGGGCAGCCCTTCTTCTAGGCCTAGGGGTTGCCTTTATGTACTCTTATAATTGTTTAGCATAAACTTTTAGTGCATCAGGCAGGCCTCGGATCAAGACAGGAAATCTCTGTGGATCTGCCTCGAGTTTCATTGGGGAATTTCATTGTGGGTCCAATAATTTTGTGTGCATTAATTGGAGACGTGGTTTTTTGTACACTTTTTACAATGTGGCCAATCGTGGGGGTTTTAATCGTATGAGGATCTCCCCTTTCTATAGGGTCTAACCCACCTGCCCAGTAGGCAGCTCTCTGGGTCAGGGACCATGATGCTTGGTTATCATTTGTGGTCAGGAAGACCCCTGGGCCCCAAAATCCTCGGACCTCATCCTCACTCAACAAAATTCGATCTCCCCCCATAAGGGACACCCTCCACACATATTCAGTTTCTGATTCATTGCCCTCACAACCGTATTTCTCCTGAAGTTTGACCAGGGTTTCCCCTGCGTACAGGTAACCCGTATGGTAGTTTGCCGATCTGCCCCTTGGCCAGGGGTTTCAGTTTTAATGAGGGGACGCATATGTATTACTTCGTTCTCCAGATAACTTTGCTTAAGCTCTTCCAATTCCCCAGAGGGGTACAGGGATTTATTAACATCAACTGGTCTGAGGAATTTTAAATTGATGTCCTGTAGTTCACAATTTTTCATTTCTAGTGCCTTTTTAAGCCTTTCATTTTGCTCCTCCTCATCTTGCAGGGCTGACCGAAGCAACAGATTAATTTCCCTTTCCCCTGAACTGCTTCACTTGCAGTTAACTGCAAGCGTTCTTTTTCTAATTGCTCCTGTAATGCCTTCATTGACTCTTGAAGAGATCTTATCACTTCACCTGTAGATTTCTGAATAACCTCTTTTTCTAATTGATCCTGCAATGCTTTCATTGACTCTTGAAAACTCACTTCACTTACAGATTTCTGAATAGCCGATCTCTCCTTTTGTATTGTTCTCAGGACAACACCTAAAACAGTATCTACAAGAAGTAGTCCTAAACCAAGGACAGATATCAAGAGGGAATAATCCCCATATAACAACCTGGGGTGTCATTCCTTTTGACTCAGTCATTAACCCAGCTCAGGTTAATGTCTTTCTCCCCCTTAACCCTCTGAGGGTCGACTTGACTCTCCTGGAAAACCTTTCAACAGGCCCAGGTACCAGAGAACCTTTCAACAGGTCCAGGCTACACCAGGAAACCTTTCAACAGGTCTGATGTGCCTGGGTCACACTGAGAGGAGAAAAATTATCTCTATAATTTCATAACGAGGGGATGGTCACCATGTGACTCACCCTTGGTATCAGTTTTGGACTACACCGATTACTCCACCACATCCAAAGGATCCTTGTCCATGACTCCAAAAATGTTATGACCCACCCCAGAAAAGGGGGGGGGGGGGTAACCCAGGTTCTTATTAATAAATCCTTTGGGGTGGATTAGAGTAAAACAACACTAAATAATCGGTGTTTGAAAACATATATATGTAGGGTTTATTTTAGAACAATTTTGTTTCAAAGGTAAACAGGTATGTTGCCATTTTGGGTGTTATCATCTATATCTCTTATCTACAGCAATATGGCATAAAGAGAACCTTTAGGGAAAATGCATAAGGGAGAGAAAGGAAAGATAGGATAAGGGTAAGGGAGAGTAAGGGAAAGAAAAGATGACAGTGGAAAGATGTATATAGTCACCGTCCACGGGATCCAGCGATGAAACTTGGTAGTTGTAGCTTCCAACATCTGGGACAGCCCAGCACAGAGTTCATGTGGAGGACACGGCTCTTCTCGCCTTTTCAGGGCTTGACACGTTTAGCAACACTGGAGGAAGAGATGGGCCCAGCTGCCCATCAGAGGTATAATGCAAAAGTCCTGCAAAAACCTGCAAAAGTCTCCTGGCAATCCTAGAATGCAGAAATCATTGACCATTTCAGTCTCTGAAGGTGCCTATATAATAATTACTCTTTCTTTCTTTAGTCCTTCTTCTTCTAATCTCCTTTTTTAATATTTCGGGTAACTTGGGACCAAATGGGTTGGATTTTGCTGAGTTATATGGGTTAGACAGGTCATTCTGACCGCATTATTTCCCTACGCCTTCCACTACACAACAAGCAACATGTTGTCCTCTTAAGTATATATGCCCCAACTCTCCAAGCTGACCCTGCTGATAAAGATAAATTTTACACCAACCTGCACCGCCTTACCCAAAAGGTTCCTGCAGATGATAAGATCATTATCCTTGGTGATTTCAATGCTAGAGTAGGAAAGAACTTTGAAGCCTGGAAAGGAGTATTAGGCAAGCATGGTGTTGGAAACTGCAACAATAATGGTCACCTTCTGCTAGAATTCTGTGAAGAGAAGCAGCTCACCATCACCAACACTATCTTTCAACAGAAAAATAGACTGAAGACAACCTGGATCTACCCCAGATCCAAACATTGGCACCTCATTGATTATGTCTTGGTGTGACGGAGAGATGTCCGCAGTGCCCACCACACCCATGTGATGCCTAGTGCAGAATGCCAAACAGACCATCGATTTGTACCCTGTAAACTTAACTTCAACCTTAAGTTCAAACCTAAAAGGGGCAGTATCCCAAGGAGGAGACTCCAAGTTAACAATCTTCAATCAGACACAGTGAGAGATTCCAGGCAAACCTTCAAACTAGGCTGGTTGATCATTCCATAGATCCCTCCCTGAATCACTTTGGCACCTGTCCTAGTTAGAACAACTGGGACCGATTCATCACTGGACGGGTGTAGCCCAAACCTGTGTATTCTATAGCCTTCCATGCCATTCCCCAGAAACTGTTGTCAGTAGAGGCCTGCGAAATAGGAAGATGTTCCTGTCCTCATACCCTTTTATGGAATTCCCTGCTCTGAGAGAAGGACTGAGCATTCCTGCCTGAACTGGAGAATATATAAACTTGGAGTTTTGGAACCTTTTCACCACTCGTGGGATCCAGAGGAGGACTGCAGGTCACCGCTCTCAACCAGACTGCAGACCACCACTCTCGACTGGACTGCAACCACCACTTTTCAACCAGACTGCAACCACCACTTTTGACCAGACTGCAACAACACTCTCACCAACAGGTTTTTTCCCTCTCCTTTTACTTTGGACTCAGGGGGTGAGTCCAAAAAATTGTTCCAAGAAACTACTCAGAGACTTTTCATCTTTAAGCAGCAAGGTATTTGTTTAATTCAACGTTGGGAGCAAACCAGTTCGCGCTGGACAAACTTGCTCAAAGGCTTCACACAAAATCAACAGTTTTTATACAATCTTCATCTATGATTAAATGCATATTCAAGTGATTACAACATCTATCTATACATATTAATTACAGGCGGAGTATAGGTGGAGCTAAGCGGGGTTTGGGGCAGTGCTTCTCTTGGCCCTCAATCCTGAGGGTACTTCCACTCTTCCTACATGGGTCTGGGGGCTTAAACTCATCTTCCTCAACCTGACCCTTCTTCTCTTCTATTGTTCTTGACCCGCTCACTGAAGCTTGGAAAAAACCCTGGCTCCCGGCCTATTTCTTCTATTCAAACGTCTACCTGATCCTGTTATATTTCTAATTTATTACTTCTAGGTCTATTACATGTTCTTGTACTATTCTCTGAAGCTTTGGTCCAGTAAGTAG